TATATAAAAAACAGCTGAATTACACCTAATGAGAATAAAATTGGTTACAGATCGACGTAAATGATTACAGAGAGAAAATTCACATGTCTACACGTTTTGGTTTCATGAAGTAGTCCAAGCAGCGTTTGGCTTTGAGTTGATCGTGCAGAGATGTTTAATGTTTTCTTGTCTGTTTTTTCTAATGAATCCGAATCTAGTTCAACATGTGGGATGTCTTTGTGGCTCTGACTTTAAGGAGAGGAGAATCTGGACAGCTTTGACTTCAGTGATGCCAAGGCTAACGTAAATGTGCAGTCCAATAAAGCAACACTTGATGATACAGTTATCTGTCACTACGAGACATTTCTCAGGTCTATCTCTGATGTAATGACCTAAAACTAGTCTCTCTTAAACCTTCTGTGCTCCCTCTGCTTGTACACAGCGAAGAGGAAGTTGTTTTCATATTCTGATGAAGGTCAAAGTTGTATGAAAGGTCACAGTTTTCCCCTTTTCCACCAACTGGTTCTGTTCAGGATTTTTCGTACCTTGGTGCCATCTCCCGAACCAGCCCGCATTTCCACCATTTTTGTGTGGAACCTTTGTAATCAAGGGTGTGCCACCAGCACCAATAGTAGCAAAATGGTGGATTACATTGATTACCTAAGAACATATTTTCTGTTATTACAGCTATGTTATTGACCAAAAAACAAGCATGGACCAACTATATATAAAACCACTTCAGGCTCTTTTTTCCAATGATTTCTTACTTAACGTCTCTCTTGTTGCCTTCTCCATCCTCTCTCCGCCCTGTAGAATACGACACACCAGCTGATGTTGTCACAGTTTGCACGTCAGGTCCAAGAAAACCTGCTATTTTTGGTTTTAGCCTAGAACCAACTTTTCCGAAATGCCCCGAACAGTTCAAAATTAGGCGCTGCAACGGAACGGAACCAGTTGCATGTTGGTGGAAAGTGGGTATAAGAGACATGGGTGTATTAAGTGCCTTTCCCACTGCACAAAAAAACACTAACACCTGCTAGTATCTGGCTTTGTAATCTAATGGGAAAGGTCACAATCAGCATTCACACTCAGGTCAAATGACCCTGCAGTAGTCAGGGGTAATCAATTCTAGCTCCGATCAGCATTGATGGCAACACAAAGCCCAGGTGAAGGTGTTAATTTTGGCTCCTGTACCGGCAAGATGCAATGACATGCCACCACAAGCTACTGTCCGTCTTCGCCCAAGCAGCGCTCAAACATCATCCCAAACTAGTCTGCACCGAGATTGAATGAAAGAAGTAACCAACGTAACATTTTCACTGACCTCCGCACTGCTTACTACCTGTTTACTAACCTGTTTTCTGGCCTGCCTCTGATGTCAAACGTGACGCACAGAAAGGCATACTCGTCTGCTGCAGATCCATGTACACAGCTCTGGTTTACTGGCAGTGGGAGAGGAGTCTAGCGCCTATTTTTAGCAAGTTTATCCAGGTTTAAAAACCCACACACATGCAGTAATTTTGGTAGAAAAGGGTTGTTACTGAACAGACCTCTGCGTTAACTTTAGACATCATGTCAATAACAGAGCCCTTCAAAGAAACTGAAGGAATTTGAAGACGTCACAAGAAAGAAACCATCATGATAGTCAGTGAGTGTCTCTATCCCCTCAGTTTATCTACAGGACTTTAGATGTGCTTAGTGCTCCATGAAGTGTGGGCTCTCTGACTCTGTGGGGAGAAACAACAGCATGTTGTACCTGCTCTCTGAGGGGTGGGGGGGCCCATTGTGTCATAATCCATCCATGCTAAGAGGTCCCAAAGGCCGCAGGTTGTCTGTGTAGCAGCTACTTTGTACTAACTCAGCAATTGCACATCAAAGTAAATGATGGAAGAGAGACTAAACAACATGCACTGAAGCTCCTGGGCTTGTAGGTGAAGTGGGGACAGTGGGAGTTTGTCAGCACCTTCACCTCGAGGCCACCAGGAGGCTCTGCAGCTTCAACATTTTACTTCATCTGAGAGCCATGTGTCAGAATTTATTATTTCAAAATATTACAATATTTTGGGGCCATTTTTGCCTTCTTTGTCTGATATCAAGATGTGGATAGCTGATGGTAAATGTGAACAACTGTGGATAACATGCAGCAACTGTTACTGTGTGGATCTGAAACAGGGATGCTGCGATTAGATGGTCTGCAATGACCCAAAAATGTGCTTTTATCACCTTTAATACTGTTTTCAGTTGATGTTATGCTTATATTTTGCATATCCTTAAACAAATGTGTCTCATCAGTTTATATTACTACATAAAGAAAGCCTGGAGCGGGGCTGTGGGAATCTACTACACCACTGCAGACTCCAGTTAGGATTCCTTGTTGTAGGGTTTGTTCTGATTTCTATGGGATTATTGCTTTAGTTTATTTGGGTTGTCCTTTAAATTTTCTAAAAGACAAAATGTCCCAACCCCTGAGTAATGCTGGAAGAAGTACTCAGATTCTTTACTTGAGTAAAAGTAGTAGTTTCAGACCATTAAAAATACAAATTTAAGCATCAAAATATGTTCAAAGTAACAAAAGTTAAAGTACTCCCTGTGCAGAATGGCCCATCTCAGAATCATATATTATTGGATTGTAATATTTGGTTAATTCATGTGTTAATCACTGCAATGTTGCAGCTGGTAAGCATGGACCTAAAATCTACTTTATAAACTGCTGGGTAGCTTAATCTGTAATAATTTATCTCTTGATATTATTTTATGTTATTAATCTTAATCTGCAAAGTAACTAGAGTTATCAAATAAATCCAGTGGAGTCAAAAGTACAGTATTTCCTTCTGAGATGTAGTGGAGTAGTAGTAGTATAAAGTAACATGAGATGGAAATACTCGAGTACAGGTGCCTCAAAATTATATTTAAGAACGTCACTTGGGTAAATGTACTTAGTTATTTTACACCACTGCCCCTTTGCATAATATTAAATTATCCTTGCTTTAGAATTTTTGTTGGTCGTTAAGTTCAGTCTGTTAGTAGATTTGTCATTTCAAAATAAATAAATAAATAAATAAATAAAAACTCACCATTGTTATGTTTAATTGGATTCTGGTAGGTGCAGTTACCAGGTTTGACCAGCAGGCGGCGCCAGTGGCGTCAGCTGTCGGTGTGTCAGACGAAAAGGAAGTGAAGAAGTGAACTTTGTTTCCAGCAGGTTGCTGTGTTAGGACGAAGATGCTGGTTAGGAAATGACAGCTATGTAAGTAAACAAGGAGGTGTGTTAAATTACCTCTTAACACATGTTTAATAATCAATTCGTGACGTAATCAGTCAGGTTTGGCGTTCTTCGGCTGCGTCCGTTTTTTGGAAACTTGTGCGGATTTAGCTCAAACTGAACAAGCTAGTTAGCAACGTTAGCTGCCACGCTGCTAACGTTAACTGTGTGATAAGAAGCTAACCTAGTTAAATAAGTACGTAGCTTGCTGTTTGCTCAGGCTAGCATTGTTTCTGCTAAGTACAATGTAAGCTAGCGTTAAACTGTATATTTCCAAATATGTATTGAACGTTACAGGAGCACGTACTTTTGTGTTTTAATTAATGTCATATAGTTAGGTTGTAAAGGTTGTAACTGCTGACAGGTGTCGTCGGTAGCAGGTTCGCATTAAACTCAAACACAGCTTCAAGTTATCTAGACTTACCTGTGTATTTATACAAACAAGGGCCATTAATATTAAATTTCTCACCCGTACGTGGTCTCAAAGACATGAAGCTGAATGTCAAAGGGAATATGAGGGTTGTGCCTCATGTTAATAATCGTTTAAACCTGTCTTTCCTTCGTATTAAAGGTCAGACTCTTCTGTAGGTTTCAGACCGAGCTGTTTATTTATAGCTCTGCTGATGGTCAGTGGTTTCTTTATAGACTGTCCTGAGAGGGCAGCTCAGGTTAATATGTTTTACTCTATAGCAGGAAACCTACAGGCAGTGGTGGAAGGAGTATTCATGTCCTTTACTGAAGTACAAGTACTGATACCACACTGTGAAAACACTCCACTACAAGTAAAAGTCCTTGTAACACCCAGTAACATAATAATTTCTTGAAAGTGTAATAAGATTTGCACTTAAGTTGATGGAACATTTAATAAAACACAATAATGTAATAAAATGTCCTGAGTGATATTGACATTTTACCGTAATAACCTTAATATACCTTGCCACACAAGGCAAAGTGGTACAAACTTTGCCTGATCAGGACATAAATCACCAGGAGTGTAAAAAGTACACAGAATAAAAGTGTTAAAAAAGTGTTATAGCAGTGTTTCCCAGACTGTCTTGGTCAGGCCCTCCTTTTAAACTAGAAAATCTGTGATTCAACTCGCCCTCATTGTAATCCGCCAGGGTGCAGTTGAGTAAAAATCAAAAAAGTTTCCACTGATGTATTAAGGTTAACTTTTTTGCCTAATTTTAAATTTGATTTGAAAAACTTAACTTTTTGAATGCAGAATTATAAGATAAGGCGAGGCAAGCAAGGCTCTTCATGCAATAAGAATCACTGCTGACTCAGATGAAAAAGAACATTTTATGGAGATTGAACCGACTGTTTTAACTTCATCGCTAACTTGTGTAACGTTAGCCATCTTCTGCAGCTTTTGTCTTCTTCTGATTGTGTGACCGGTTTCGTTCCTTACTGATATGGATTTTAATTCGATGCAGCTTTGCCTGTTGTAAAATTCAAATTCTACATGACGCCTTGAGTTAACATTTCCAAAACATGAAATGAGTGTCAGATGATAGTGTTGTCAATAGGCTAACATGATGTTAACAGTAATATAAATTTTGTGTACCTGCACACTTTACGTTTCCAAGAAAAAAGCCTACTTTTTAGAAAGTTTATTACATTACATCATCAGTTTTGAGACCAACAAAAGGCCCACATGAAAAGTTTTAAGCCTTTATTATTGGTAAAAAAAACAACAACAAAAAAACAGTTATTACAATATCATTCAGGATACGGACGCACAATATGGGATTTTTTGCCAATATGTTGATACATAACAACTCATTTGGCCGACATCCAATACCAATATCAGTATATCCATATATTACAGAAAATTAAACACCTCTATTCCCCGAATTCTCTGACTGAATATACCTTGTTTTTCTGTATGCGTGCACTCTGGTTTATCTTTATTTTGTGTATTTTCATTCATGTACTTATGTAACACCCTGGTTTAAGAGCACGTATTTGTGTTTGCATTGTGTAGTGGTATTATTTCATTGTCTGTTAATACGCATTTATAAAGAACGTTTTCTTTAAAATTTGAAAAGCCATAAGGAAAATAATAACTCGCAGCCTTTTATTTTCTAAGTGTGTTGTTTTACTTTGTGGTGGTTTAAGAAATTTGTAAAACAGATGTAGAAACTTGTTTTTAATGCAAGAAGACCTGCAGTGGTCGAAACATGTTGGCTCTTTTATTGATTTAGCCACTATGATAAAGGCTTTTTAATACTTCCTTCCTCGTTTTCTATATTTCTGGAGTCCCTGGGTTGCCTCTTTGTGTATGTTGTTTTCCATTTGCTCAAGGTTTTGATCTATGTTTGATTACACAGAGCAACTAGTCGTCTCTGTTAACCAGGTCGTAATGATTCACTGCACAGGCAAGCATTGCTCTGAACATCAATCATATCATTTGTGTGCTCAGATCAGTCATTCAGGAAGTTAAAATAATGTCAGACAAACTGCTGTAATTTATTTGGACTACATCATGCATGTTGTATAAGTCACAGGTAAAGCTACCAATGATTAACAAAAGTGCCGTCTCTAAACGTTTAGTCTTTCCGTGGATATACTGTGTATTTCCTAACTCTGTGGTGACAGGTCAGAGGTTTGTTGTTTTTTACTGAAATGTACTGGTTTTTAACCTGTTCGGCGGATGTGAAAACCAACCAAACAGGATATAAACTTGCTGCTTTCCTCTGTTATATATCGTTTTAAACTGAAGAGCCTCTCAGGCCTGATGGTGAACAAAATAACCAAATGGAGGGCGCCATTTTTCACTGATATCAGATATTTTATATACGAAGAAACAGTTGGCGGAATAATTGTCATATTATTTTTACCATAGTGTTTTCTGTCTATGTTTGGCTGCTTTACAATGCTTCTTGTCCTCTCATCAGGCTGTCTGGTGTCGTCCAGGCGGTGACTGATTGACAGATGCCTTCATCATGATGCTGAGCTGCAGCACCCTGGTCGTCGCCCTCCTGCTGTCCCAGGCCAGAGGCTTCCTGAGCTCTGAGGAAGACAACGTCCCCGAGGAGTGGGTGCTGCTTCATGTGGTTCAGGGCCACATTGGGGCCGGAAACTACAGCTACCTGCGCCTCAACCACGATGGCCGAATCATCCTGCACATGCAAAGCCTCAAGGGGGACGCGGACCTCTACGTGTCGGATAAAACCCTGCGCCCGAGCTTCGACACCTACAAGCTGCAGTCGGCCACCTGTGGCCAGGATGTGGTGGTGGTGCCAGGGGACTTCACGAGGCCTGTGGGCATCGGCATTTACGGCCACCCGTCTCACAAGGAGAGCGAGTTTGAAATGCGGGTGTTTTACGATCAGACGGCTCCTCAGGACCCATTCGATAAGGGCTCATATGATTCAGAAGAAGGACGTAAGAAAAAGAAATCCCCTCAGGCAGCAGAGGAGGACTTTCAGGAAGAGGAGTCAATCTTTTGGACAATTCTAATCGGACTTTTGAAGATTATACTTGAGATTTTGTTTTGAAAATGGTGTCCATCATAGCTGCTGTGACACGGGGAGATTCTTCTTTTTTTTTTGGGCTCTGTCAGCGTCGATCCATTGAAGATGATTATTTTCTTTCATTCTGTAAGGATGAGAAAATGTTGCACCAAACTCCTGTGAATCCTGGTATTTTTAACAATTCTTTTCCTTGTGATCAAACATACATACTTGATTAAAAAAAACAGTAAAAATCAGTTTTATGAGAAGTTGCAAGTTAAAACTGAATTCACCAGTAAAGTCTGATTTAAAGTCTGTATGTTTGGTGATGAGCAAATGAACATGAGCCTGTCAGGTTTAGCAGATTTTGCTTTGGTGTCCTCTCATACAGAGACAGACTGAAGCATATTTAAGTGTAACATAGTTACATAGGCCTAAATTTCTGTATTGAACCGCCGTTCAACCAAAAGGGCAAAATAGGAATATTTCTGGAGTCTTAAAGGATAGGTTTGGGTTTTTTCAAGTTTTATCTTAAATGCAACACACACGTCACACGTAAATCGAAAGTCATGGGTACTGTTATCGTTCCTCCTGTCCATACTGGTGGCGTAGTGAACCTCTCTGATCCTCAAAGTCCTCGTTTAGGGCTCAGCATTCTTCAAATTAACGACGTCTAAGGGCAGAAGTGTTAACACCTGTTTCAAAGGTAGGATAAAAAGCCTGCTGCCATAACTTTGTTTTTGCCTTCCTTCTGATCACGCAGCCTCCCTGATCTTGCTTCAAGAACGCTGTCTTCTGTGTGTCTTGATGTGATAAATCATTGGAGCAAAGATAACGTTGTGCACTTTTAGACTCTCCTTGAAGGCATTAACAATTATAGATCCGATCGATCACATGAAATGTGACTTTAGTAGCTGTGTGACGAGTGAAAAAATAGATCTTGAGTAGTTTAAATCTTCTATTTTCTCTCCTCTGCACATATGGCCAATGGCAGTGTAAACGTATGAGTGAGGGTCTGAATGTTTTAGAAAAATAGTTTGACACATCTTAACAAACTGGGTTTTGGGAGAAAAACCAGTGTATTTGTGGGCCCAGTGTGAGCGGGGCTCTCTAGTCCAGAGTGAATGAATTTTAGCTCATTTGCAGACATTTCAGTTTGTGGAGATGATTTAAAACTGACCTGTCAGTCTTTGGAGTATCTAATGCTCTCTCGGTGTTTAACTCCGACTGCTAAAGCCTCAGACGAACTTAAAATACATTTTGAACTGTTTTTTAACATGCTATCTTACATAGAAACACACAGACAGCTCCAACGGCACACTGTGGCCACAATAATTAAACATCTGACAGAGATCCAGAGCGCATGACATACTCAGAAATATGAAGAAGTATAAAGGCTAAGCTGTATCTATGTGTTAGAAAACGCTCAGTCCCATTAAAGTCAACAGTGATGCAACACGTCAATATCTGGAGAGACAGAAGGAAAAGTAAAAAATGTCAGTTAGCCAGTTCAGATTATTGCCGTCTATCTTTGATTTTAAGACGAAGAAGGATGTCCCAAGTTTTAAAAATCAGAGTGCAGGCTGTGGATCGCTTCACAGCCACTGAGAACAGGAGGAACTCTTTTGATGTGCTCAAGACATGACAAGAGTGTTGTGTTGAGTTGGACTTAAAATCCAAACCAGTCCTTTAATTTGATCGTAAATGAAGTTCAGCATCAGACAGAGGTCACTGTTGTGGCTGACTCCCACCTCTCAGCCTGTGAATGAATGAAACCGCTTGTCTTAACTCTGCATATCAACAATTGAATTTAAAAAAAAGACAACTTAGCAATACAGTCATTTTCAGCTATTTGGGATAAACATGAGGTTTCCTATAGAACAGGTTTATTTCCCTGGCGACACATTATATCATCTCATGTTATTACTGGATATGCTGGGAGATCTGAAATGTTTGTAACGGTAAAAGGATGATGGCTTTGTGTTCTACGACACTGACGACATTTAATTTATTGGGAGGTCAGTGAGGGTTGAAATGCTGCTGAATGTGCCGTCATGATTCATTGTTTTAATTCAGGATTATTTCCTTAATTTAGACTTCAAATGGGAACATTAAGGTACTGCTACCAACCTGTTAACATTAGTAGCAACTTTTCATTTGGTTTTATCACTTTGTTTTGTTCTTTTTTTTTTTGCCTGTTGGACAAGCTCTTGATTTGAAAACATCACCTCCTGCGTTCGGAGTTCAGTTATGAGTAAACTTGCTACCACTGAGCAGAAATGTTCAACAGTGCCTTCAAGAGATTGGTCCTCTGCAGGGGGAACAGACGAGCAGTTTTCCTGTTTCCAGAGATCAGGTTTCTAAATAAAGCAGTTGTTTTGCAGACTGTTAAAGTCTTTTGTCTCATGGATCTTTGTGTCAGGAACTAGACATTAGATGATAAACCTCATTAACCACAAGGTTGATGGTTTGATGATTAATTGCTAATTTATACAGTACAGGCCAAAAGTTTGGACACACCTTCTCATTCAATGCGTTTTCTTTATTTTCATGACTATTTACATTGTAGATTCTCACTGAAGGCATCAAAACTATGAATGAACACGTGGAGTTATGTACTTAACAAAAAAGGTGAAATAACTGAAAACATGTTTTATATTCTAGTTTCTTCAAAATAGCCACCCTTTGCTCTGATTACTGCTTTGCACAAATCTCAAATCTCTTCTGTGGTGGAATAAACGTCATATTATACATGCATACTCTTATTGTGACGGCCCACCAGCAGATGGAGACATGAAATACAATACTTTTAAATGTATGTAATTTTCAATCATTTTGCAAAATAAGATAAATAGGCTGACAGATTCTTATAGTTAATTTTAAAGCCAATATCGGCTGATACCGATGACGTGCCGATAATAACGTGCATCCCTAACATATGAAATAATAAATCCCCCTCTCACAGGGCTGATGGTGTCCTCCTCAAGCTCGGTGCTCTACCAGAGTCCTGGGAGTTTGAGGGTTCTGTGCAGAACCTTAGCTGTTCTTAGGACTCCACTCTTCTAGACAGAGACCTCAGATGTTGTACCTGGAATCTGCTGGAGCCACTCTCCCAGTTTGGGGATCACAGCCCCTAGTGCTCCCATTACCACTGGCACCACTGTTGCCTTTACTCCTCACCTCTTGTCTAGCTCCTCGTCGAGCTTCTTGTGTTCCTTCTTCCTGATGTTGCTTACATGTATCACCATTGCCTTCGTCTGTTGTTTGTCCATCAACACAATGTCCAATTGGTTGGATCTTAGCTCGGTCCTTCTCAGCCACCTTAGCAGGTGTCTTCCATTGTGACCTTGGGACTTCCAGCCCATACTCAGTGCAGATGTTCGTGCACACTGGTGTTCCATGTACGCTCTTCCTGCCTGCATCTGACACCCTGCTGTTATGTGCTGAACTGTCTCAGGGGCCTCTCTGCACAGACTGCACCTGGGGTCCTGTCTGCTGTGGTCGACCCCTGCTTCTATTGATCTCATACTAAGTGTCTGTTCCTGTGCTGCCATGATCGGTGCTTCTGTGCTGTCTTTCAGTCGGGCCTTTTCCTGCCACTGGTAGGATTTCTTTAACCTCTCGGTGGTACATGCCGTGCAGTGGCCACATATGTATGTTTAATCAGTTAATCCTTTTCTATACTTTTCAACTTCAGGTGTGATATTGGTCTTTTTTGTAATGCAAGCTTAGTTTGTCAGAAAGAAAACGAAACAAGAAAACGTTCTCATACGCAGTTGTGTAAAGCTACGTAAGTACTGTACTCAATCATTTCCATTTTACACCACCTCTGCTTCTGCTCAACTACATCTCAGGGACAAATGTAGTTTTTACTCGACTACATTCATCTGACAACTTTAAGTCTCTGAGAAGATTCATCTTATTAATACAAAATATAAATCATCTATGATGTATTATTATAGATTGAGCAACTGAGCAGTACATAAAATCATTAAAATGAGCACCACATTTACCACCTGCAACATTATAGTGATGAAAACATAAATGCATCATTAATTTTAATCCATTAATATAATATTCCGAGAGGTTGAGTTTTGCATAATGACTTTTTTTGGTATTTTAATGTCAATATGTGTGTAGTTTTACCAAAGTAAGACTTTGAATGCAGGATTTTACTTGTATTATTGCTACTTTTTTTAATTGAAAGATTTAAGTACTTTTTCCACCACTGACTACACGCGATTTTATAAAATTAAAAACTGGTAAAAACAGAATGAATAAAAATCAGTCATCTGCAAAAAGCTTAAGTTTTATTATTTACAGATTTAAACCCGGTCAACATGTGAGCTCATTTCAATAGAAACAGTCCAAAGAGTCACCTTCAACATTTGTTTACATATTTATATTAACTGAAAACAAACAGTCTGTGTGTGAGACAGTCCACTCTTCATCATCATCTTCATCATGAGAGTCTGGGGGCCAGCTCGATGCTGTTGATCCTCAGCACCGTCTGCGGCTGGATGATGATCTTCTTGCGCTGGTACCGGTGTCTCTTCCAGAACTTCATGTGTACTTTGGGCCAGGACTCGGTCTTCTCGATGACGGTGGCCTCGACCCGGACCAGGTCCTTCCCCAGCAGAGGCCTGCCCAGCAGGGTGAAGTCCTCCGCCCCGACCAGCAGCACCTTCTCCAGGCGGATCCGGTCCCCGCACTCCGCCTCGATGTGGTTCTCGATCAGGATCAGGTCCTCGACGGTGACCTTCCACTGGCGACTGGCGAAGTGCACCACGGCGAACAGGCGGCCGAAGTCCTGCTGCTGGATCCGCTGGTTCACGGTGCTCACCACGGCGGCGTGCCGGCTCCGCTCCTCCTCCTCCGATACCGGGATCACCTGCTCCGGCCACGGTGGACTAGACAGGGAGGTGCGGGGCAGCAGGTCCCCGCTCACGGAGCTCTGTGTCCGGACAGCAGCTGGAGACAGGAGAGGTTGTCTGGGTAACAACCTGCAGCATGTCCTCCACAATCCTGCTCCCCTGCTCAGCGCCATCTTGACAGGAAAAGCTTTGATTCGCACCGCGCATGCGTGACATCTCGGCGTCACCTTACAGTCACCTGACTTTTAGTGCATTCAAAGACCTTTTCTCAGTGCAGGAAAAAATAAACACATTTCTTTACTCAAGTCAAAGTTAAATTTGGTGTGACCCTGGAAAACAAAAATGATGAACTTTGTCGTAACTCAATCATATATTTGGCAAAATGTTTCATACATAAAAACAGAATCCTGAAATCATCCCCCATATTTGTTTTTCTTTACTTAAATTAATTTAAACTGTACACAAAATCTTTGAAATAATAAAAGCACAAAAGTTATGTGATATTCTTAAACATTTCCCATTGTATCAGATAACTGACATATATTTATATTTCCCCTTGTATGAAAGTTATTTATTTGAGTTTATTTTATATTTACATTCAAAACTTACAGTTAAAAGCACTTCCTTTGTAATCAGTTTTCAATCTTGTATTTTAAGATGTTGTTCGCTACTGCAGTATTTTTGTGCTTCCCTGTACTTTATGAACGTAAATGTTGTCATATTTGTTGCATAGATTTTGAATAAAAATCATTAAAAAGAAATCTTTACCTGAGTCAAAGTTATATAAGCAGTAAAATACCACAATGAAAACATGCTTAAAAACAAATTATATTTGAGTAAAAGCAAACTACAAGACTACACAAGAGGACAGTGGTGAGAGAAGTACTTGGAAGATCTTTAAGGTAAGTAAAAGTCTCATTGTACAGAAATGCTCCTTTCACAGTGTTATATCAGAATATAATACTATTTTGTCAATGTGGAGCCAAATTTAGGTTCTTTGTATACTAGGTTACTGTAGATTAGTAGCATAGTGCAGCATCATGTCATAAAACAAATGTTTTTATGTAAATGGAGAAGGGTGCTGGAATAAATATAGAATTATTACTGAGACAGGTTGCTTTATATACAAGAGGTGGTTGGATTTGACAGCAAATACAGCATCCATATATTCATATTGACAGTGATGATGTTTGCATGTTAAAAACTGTGTGTAAACTTTGAAAATAAATAATGTACTTGTACAGGGAAATACAGTGGATGTTATCCAGCTTGAAGGAGACAGGTTTTACATTGCACACATTTGCTTCACTGTGAACTTCTGCACATCCCCTGCTTAATATTTGTGCATGTCACTGCACAAAACTGTAAAGCTTACTCTAAAATAGCTATATTTTACATACTATGTCATTGTACTTTTTTAAAAGTATGTATGCATTTTTCTTTACTATGTTAAAATTCTTGAGTGTTGCAGTGATTTGCCCTATTTCTATTCTTCTTAGTATTTTTATTGTATGTTTAATATGTGCACTAAAAACCAAAGCTAATTCCTTGTAAGTGAAAACTTACTTGGCAATTAACCCTTTTCTGATTCTGATGTTTGGTGTTGCAGGTTTACCAACACTGTATGACCGCTGTTAACTAAACTAACTAACTAAAATAAAGTAGAAATCCCTCAAAATTGTACTTAGATGCAACACATGACTTAATGTACTTGGTTACTCTCCAGCACATTAAAATACCTACGTTTCGTGTTTGCTTAACAACCCTGGAGTCTGGAAACTGTAATTTACAACAGCACTTTAACGCAGCGCCGATCTGCCTCCATTTTGTATCGGTCGGCCCGTTTCCGTGTTTTCCCGTGAAGGGACCGATAAAACTGTGTCAACAGGGAGTATGGCTCTGCTCGTAGGTCAGGAGTGCGGCGGCTAAAGTTTTCCGTAGCTACCTGAAAACTTTTCAAAGTGACTCTTAACCGCTTCGTTTCCTCAAACAAGTGTTGTTGACAGAACTCAGCCGGACTGCGCTGACACTGACAGCTCCATGCTAACCAGCTAACTGCGGCTAGCTCCGCTGTGTAACCGCCACTAGCCCAGAGCGAGCTAACGTTAGCCGGCTAACCTGTGAGTGTTTTTCGGTGGCGTTAAGTTACACCAGCACCCTCCCATCCTAACTTTTTGGGTCAAACACGACGGCACTTTCTATTCATGTTGTTTTGGAGGACGAGTTTATCAAACCTCTTCTTCTTCGAGCCTGGGTAAGTGCATTTATTGGAAGCTAACTTTATACTCCACCTAAGTTTAAGACAGCGCCAGGTATGTTTGTTCCTTTACCTGGGAGCGGCCAAACAACCTGCACAGGCCTATAAATCCTGTTTTTCAGTGGTGGAAGAAGTACTCAGGTCATTTACTATTGTAAAAGTACTAAAAACACATTGATAATACTCCACGTTATGCAAAAGTCCTGCATTTAAATTCTTAATTAAGTATTACCAAATGTAGTTAAAGTACTCGCTGTGCAGTAACACGCTGCCTGTCAGTGTATCTAATGCTTATGGATTAATATTACTGCTGCATCCATGTGTTTGTTGCATTTAGCTGCTTTACATATTTGAGGACGTGCTCTTTAAAAAAAAAAAAAAAAAAAAAAAGTCCAATATACTGTTGGGTAGTTTACTTTACATCGATGTATCATATTGTGTAAGATCATCATATGTTTGTAGCGTGGCTGTCCTGTGAGATCCACAAATCTCTAGAAAGTCAACTTGTCATGGTGTCTGGAGACAGCCCTGTTTTCAGTTTTGTGACGATGCATTTTCCAGCTGAGTTTATTTGGGTTAAGAAGCAGGAACAATTTTTTCCAGCACATAATCCTTTAGTATATCAAACATTCAACACATCTGGAAATGCATGGTGAACAAAAGCATTTGTCAGACAAATGTGGTGCAGTGAAAAGAACAATATTAAATAGGTAGTGGAGTAACAAGTTCCTCAAACCTAAATGTAAATGTACATGGTTACATTCCACCACTGCCTTTGTTGCACAGTTTGCAAGTTATTTCTTGCAGGACACTCCTGAATTTGTCCAACAACATGCGTGATTTATGGTTTAGTTATTGAATAAATGAATGCTTGCTTTGCTACAAGAGGATATTTTTATAGCAAAACCTGTCCAGGAAGTGGATAAGCACACAAGGCAGGCTATGTAATGGTAATTTGGAGCTGTCATTGCCATGAAAAAAAGCCTAGAAACACACACACACAGAGCCACAGGCCTTTAACTCAGTGTATTTCCTTTACCACAGAAGCATCTAACTTCCTCATACAGCCCCCCTCCTCCCTGGTTGTATTTCCCTGTGCAGCTTCATAATGTTGATGTGGGGAAACTTCTTTCCATCAACTGACTGTTTGGATGAACAGCTTAATGGAGACCAAACATCAGCGCTCTTGACCTACTTTAAGGACCTCACTTTACTTTGATCTTGAATGGAAAGGATTAGTCAGATTATAGGAGTCAAAGGTCAGGAATAGTTTGTTTTATCAGTGTTGGATTTGCACGCATTTGTATATGGATACGTGCAAAAAAAAATATTCAGAGTTTAATGTTCAGTATCTTACATGCCCCCCTTTTAGTTTGACATTTTATGTAGTGTTTTCTTAAAATTTTCCAAATCATGTCAAACTTCACATGTACAAATGCTGAACAGTGGGTGGGTATCATTTAAATCTTTCCATTTCCTGTGGCAATACTGCACTTTCATTTTGGTATCATTAGAACAATGATAAACCTCACTACCTTACTTTTTGGAGTATTTAGTGCACTTTTATAAAAACAAACAACTTGTTTTTGTTTAACTTAAAAACATCCAAACTTTCAAGTCTGGCAATGTTGTCCTGAAACTTAAAGCCATAAATTTGCCCCAAAAAATATACAGCTTTCAGTTCTCAACCATTTCTGATTCTTGTAGTCACAGACACATTTTGGGCAGTAAGGGCTAATTTGTCGTTAACACACGCATTTCTGCAGTGCTCCACTTTGGCCTGCATGACGTAAATGTCATCATTCACCCATGTCTACGGGGATCCATAGGGACCCTTATGTGGACTAGAGTCCTCAATGGGCCAAAAACATTACGACCCGAATGGGACCGACCCACGCAAGTTCAAGCCCGAACTCGGCCTGTCCGAAATTATTACATAAAATACTGAGCCTGAGCCCAACCAAGCCTGAGACACCCGAAAAGCACTAGTCAGCTTCTAATACCCTAGACACACTGGCTGTGTTGCAGCGCAAGCCACGCGTGTCTCCAGCTGAAAATGGACCAGCTTGGTGGATCACCATCTCCACATTGTATTCCCCCACGAGAAGCTCAGGAGCTCTTTGCTCCGGCCGGGAGGAAGAACAGAGAGCCCAGCACGAAGCCTGGATGCTCCATCTCCTTCTGTCTGCAGGAAGGAGAGGGAGCTGCTGGAAGAGTGCTCAATTTTTTATATTTTAAATGTGTGTATATATATATATATATACGGTACAGGCCAAAGGTTTGGACACACCTTCTCATTCATTGCGTTTTCTTTATTTTCATGACTATTTACATTGTAGATTCTCACTGAAGGTATCAAAACTATGAATGAACACATGTGGAGTACTTAACAAAAAAAGGTGAAATAACTGAAAACATGTTTTATATTCTAGTTTCTTCAAAATAGCCACCCTTTGCTCTGATTACTGCTTTGCACACTCTTGGCATTCTCTCGATGAGCTTCAAGAGGTAGTCACCTGAAATGGTTTCCACTTCACAGGTGTGCCTTATCAGGGTTAATCAGTGGAATTTCTTGCTTTATCAATGGGGTTGGGACCATCAGTTGTGTTGTGCAGAAGTCAGGTTAATACACAGCCGACAGCCCTATTGGACAACTGTTAAAATTCATATTATGGCAAGAACCAATCAGCTAACTAAAGAAAAACGAGTGGCCATCATTACTTTAAGAAATGAAGGTCAGTCAGTCCGGAAAATTGCAAAAACTTTAAATGTGTCCCCAAGTGGAGTCGCAAAAACCATCAAGCGCTACAACCAAACTGGCACACATGAGGACCGACCCAGGAAAGGAAGACCAAGAGTCACCTCTGCTTCTGAGGATAAGTTCATCCGAGTCACCAGCCTCAGAAATGGCAAGTTAACAGCAGCTCAGATCAGAGACCAGATGAATGCCACACAGAGTTCTAGCAGCAGACCCATCTCTAGAACAACTGTTAAGAGGAGACTGCGCCAATCAGGCCTTCATGGTCAAATAGCTGCTAGGAAACCACTGCTAAGGAGAGGCAACAAGCAGAAGAGATTTGTTTGGGCCAAGAAACACAAGGAATGGACATTAGACCAGTGGAAATCTGTGCTTTGGTCTGATGAGTCCAAATTTGAGATCTTTGGTTCCAACCGCCGTGTCTTTGTGAGACGCAGAAAAGGTGAACGGATGGATTCCACATGCCTGGTTCCCACTGTGAAGCATGGAGGAGGAGGTGTGATGGTGTGGGGGTGTTTTGCTGGTGACACTGTTGGGGATTTATTCAAAATTGAAGGCACACTGAACCAGCATGGCTACCACAGCATCCTGCAGCGACATGCCATCCCATCCGGTTTGCATTTAGTTGGACGATCATTTATTTTTCAACAGGACAATGACCCCAAACACACCTCCAGGCTGTGTAAGGGCTATTTGACCAAGAAGGAGAGTGATGGAGTGCTGCGGCAGATGACCTGGCCTCCACAGTCACCGGACCTGAACCCAATCAAGATGGTTTGGGGTGAGCTGGACCGCAGAGTGAAGGCAAAGGGGCCAACAAGTGCTAAACACCTCTGGGAACTCCTTCAAGACTGTTGGAAAACCATTTCAGGTGACTACCTCTTGAAGCTCATGGAGAGAATGCCAAGAGTGTGCAAAGCAGTAATCAGAGCAAAGGGTGGCTATTTTGAAGAAACTAGAATATAAAACATGTTTTCAGTTATTTCACCTTTTTTTGTTAAGTACATAACTCCACATGTGTTCATTCATAGTTTTGATGCCTTCAGTGAGAATCTACAATGTAAATAGTCATGAAAATAAAGAAAACGCATTGAATGAGAAGGTGTGTCCAAACTTTTGGCCTGTACTGTATATATTTTAAAAAGACACAACCTGACCCAGTCAATCACCACACGTGATTGCACATTTTATGTGACTGCGCAGACTGTACACGATTGTGCATGCTCCATTATCTTGTTCCAAACTCAAGTCTAGTCCAAAGCACAAGTGAGATGCAGGATAGATTTGTTTCACTCACCAGCCAAAAAAAAAGCAGTGGTAAATGATAATCTTTTGATAGTGGTTGATTTAGTGGCTGGTAAAATTTTGAACATTCACTAGTTGTTGACTGGTTGACAAAAAAAGTTAATTTTGCACCCTGCTCGCAATTGCAATTCATATTGAATTATTGCAATTCAGTTGTGCAAAATACCCACTGTCATGGAAATGTCATGGAATTTCACAATCACATTTTCAGGCCTGGAAAAGTCATGGAATTAGTCAGTCATTGAACAGAAAAGGCATAGGATTTTGATGTGTGTAGTGAAATTGTTACAATAATCTTCCATGTAATGTAACGGCAAATTAATTTTCTGTAGCTGTCGATGTAAAGTTGCTCTAATATGCATCAATGTGTGACAAAGTTTTTCTATTTTCGCCCGTCTCTCCTCTCCTGTACGCTAGGTAGCTGAAATTATTCTTGAAAAGAGTGTAAATCTGATATGTTAGATAAACGCTGGGCAAGAAGAAAAACTTTATTATAGGTCCTTGAAGAGTTATGGAAAAAAATTGAAATTTTGTCCATGAAAATGTATAGGGACTCTGAATATTTGAGGACTTTTAATCTCAGGCCTAACATTTCCATTTTATTTTACCTTGTGCAAGTCGCTAACTCGCTGTTTTTCAAAAGTTTGAACTTACGATGAAGCCGATTAATCAATAAGTTTAGCAGAAAATTAATGTCTAATGATCAATCAGTTAATCATTTTGGGTTGTTTTTAAGCAAAAATATTAACAATTCACATGTTACAACTTCTCTAAGATAAAGTTGGTCAAACACATCAAACACTGGGGACTTTAGACGGGCATTTTTACCACTTTTTAGATCAATCAATTCCCAGAAAACTTCACCTGACTGATAAATGAAGGTGTTAACATGCCTCACTAAGGCCTAGTCCACACGAGCACAGGTATTTTTAAA